AGTAGGTCTTCACAGGCCCCACACGGTTTTTGGAAATGAAGATAATACGGAAGGCTGGTGTTTTGCAGCATATTAGCTTCCTGCTTAATTTTTTAATTACAAGATTTTGGGGGGGGGGAAGCTCTGGCACAGCATAGAACCAGGTAGATGGCAAAAAAAAAAAAAAACCCTCTCTGTGAACACATTTTTGCCTACAGAAACCAGATAGCCCATCTCCAACATAATACAAATTTCTTTTGATTTAAACTGCTGTTTGTTAAAAGGAACCTACTGTTTCCTGTTTTCATTCCTTTGTGCTCTGTACTATAATATTATTTGACAAGGGGCAACAGAAGTTACTGAGGACTATGGATCAGTATCAGACAGTGTTTAAAAAGGGCTTTAAATTACAATGAAAATTTATGGTTATGAGGAAAACAGGCTGATGACTGCAACTATTCTGAAACTGGACTGGCTCCTTTAGCAATACTTCATCATCAGTACTGATGAGGGATGAGCTAACAGAGCTGAATGAATGCCCTCCTCTTTCTCCTTTCTTTGGCTTAGCAACCTGGTAAATGTTACGGGATGACTTTGGCAACCTTATAGAGAATATCTAACCGCACACGGTCTTTCTCTGCTGCTCCTCCATGTGCTGGAATAGTCTCTCTCCCTACCCCTAGCACACAGATTTTTGTTCTGGCAGTCTCTTAAATTATTTCCCCTAAGCATGAACCGTCACGATAAAGAGGAAATGTTCATTTTTATCATCTACTTTTCAAGTGAATCCACTCTGGAAGCAGCCTAAGGGTACAAATCATCAGTGATTTATTTACATTTGTATATACAGCATATGTAAATAACTTCTGAATTGGAATCCCATATGTAGGATGGGCAGAAATACAAGAACGTAAAAAGCCATATATGGCAAGATGTGTAGCATGGATAGAGACCTTTTTTCCTAACACTGGCATCCATCAAGACTCAATGCATTATCCTGGGTGCAGATTACAAAATATCTGTATGTCTCCAGCATTCTCTGAAAAACGTGGATAACTCAATGCCTTTAGAGCTTGCAGCAGTATGTTAATGAATTAAGGAAAATAGGAAGCCTCTGTGGCAGTATAATTACCAGAGAGTTGCTAGATAGGCCGAGCCTCTCCTTCTTTCTAATTCTCCACAGCTTGGATAAGGGAGTGTCCTCCATCACCATCATTTGGCCATAGTCATCTTGTTATGGAGTTCACCATTCCCAAGAAGGCTTCTTCCACAATTCTCATATGTAAACTGACTGGACCAGCAACTGAGCCCTACTCTGAAACCAGCAACAGGAGAGTTTCCTTCCCTATAGCTGAAAGCAGCAGGGTAGATTTCAAAGGCCAGGGCAAGTTGAGAGCTCTGTTCTCCAGTTTTTCAATAGTGCCTTCTAGTCATTGCCATCTGAAGCAGCTCCCCCATTTTTCCAAATGCTAGGATGAAGTCCAGCTCCAGCCAACTTAACCCAGGAATGGTTAACTGCAAGATTCAGTGTCAGGAGAGGGTGACTATTTTATACCACACGTAACTTTCTTGGGGAGGGTGAGGGTCACTCCACAGCAGATGGGGACACAATACAAATCCACTGGAAGAATCTGAAGATTTATATTTATTCTTTGAAGCCAAAGAAAATGTTGTAAAGAAATTATATAAAGGTGTTCAAGACTCTGCCTGCCTGCAGCATGATATATCTCTGAGAAGCTAACAGAATAGGACTATATTTGGTGTATGGGGAAAAGCTGACAAGAAAGAGTTTAGAAATGGGGCAAATCAAGCTGGGCCTGCAGAGGAAAAAAAAAAGATTCCCCCCCGGCAAGGAGCTGGCAGAACCCAGCTCTTTTTACCCAGTTCAAATCAACCTTGATTGACTAATTGATTCTATATGCCACTAAATTCATTCAGACTCATGACTGCTTACAAAAATACAGATCAACAATTATAACATTGCACCCTGCCTGAAAGGGATGTTAGACTTTTTAAAAACACAAGTAAAATACTCTTTCAAAAAAAGCACTGAACCTGCGTTTAAAAACAGATCTTATATTCTTTCAAGAGAAGACTAAGCTGGAGTATATAAGAGCCTGTGCAATGCCTGACTGATGCTTTCTGAAGTGGGCAGATGTCTCTTCAGAAGCTAGGTATCTACTCTCTTCTGCAGTGATGGGGGGTACCCAGTGACTGGAAGAATGGCTGCTCACAGCCAACAGAATCCAGTAGGAGCTGGGGAGGTTGCATCATTATTGATCACGTCCACAGCAAAACACTGTGTTGGAAGGAAAAGGAAGCCCAACATTAAAGCTGAAACAGCTAAATACCAATTTAAGCTGCCTCTGTGATGAGTTGGGAATGAGACAAAGACAACCCTCTGAAGAACCATTATTTAAAAATGGTTAGTGGAATGCTGCAGTTAGTGTGATGTGAGAATGGGCCCAAAGACTTGTACTCTTTCAAATCCATTGCTAGCCAGTTACTTTTTCTCAACATATGTAACCTTTATAAGAATAATGGGAGAAGAGAATTCCATAGGGTATGAGTTTCTTGGGGGAGAAAATGGTTATAAATACAATAAACAGTGGAAGAAGGGCAATTCAATTCAACAGAATTCGTACAAATAGCTCTGGAACACTATTTAAAAAACTTTCTGAAGCCCATGCATTTAACACTAACTCTTCACTGTGGACAAATGGGAACCCAAATCTCAAGGAGAAATAATTGTCCTGATGTTTTCTGAGTCTTCCAAATAGTCATGGGTCCCCAACTAATCTAAGCAACATAGTGAGGGGAGTTACATATGGGAAAAAATCAAGTTGCATATTAATCGATGCTGAGGAAGTGATGTGCAGTTTATTCCACTGAAGCAATATCTGAACCACAATGCAGTGAGATTGCCAGGTTGAAAACAATTATTCAATCCACATCTGAGATACATAAAAAGTTGTGTAATTCTGCCATACAATGGCCTCATTTAAATACCCTTTCAGTTGTTTTATGCTTCACTAGGAATATTTTATAAATACAAGCATGGTTTAAAGAAGTACTTTCACTGGGATATGTTTCTCCTAATGAAGAGGTTCTGGAGTGACTGGGACATGGAAAATGAAAAGATTTTGCAAACATTAAAGACTACTTAAAATTTTGGAAAACGCATACACTAAGTCCAATTACAAATATATATTATTTTTGGTTGAATTTCCCTCTGAATTTAATCTTCGCTTTGCAAAGCTACACAAAACATTGGTTTGGCATTATCTGCCATTCGTTGCTTCTGTGTACTTTTCATTTATTTCCACAGAGGTTTTACATGCAAGCTCGAGGCAGACTTTGACTCCTGTGGTATTTCAGAACCGAGACACTCTACACATGGTATAGTACTTACGTGGGACTCCTTGCTGGATAGAATGAGCGCGGAAGAGGCACGGAGGGGTCTTTCTGCCCAGCCTTTTTAACAAGTGGTCACGTTCATTCATGCTGCAAGACAAAAGGTCAAGTCAAGTGAATCTCCAGAGGTAGATTATGAAGTACCCTCTTAAAAAATGGGAATACATTGGTGACAGAGCAGAACTTGTTCTTTCCATTCTTCTAATACATGTTTAGAATAAACAAGAGCTTAATGAATTATAATGTCCTCTCGGTATGTGGACATACAGATTTGGTATTCCAAGTTAATGTAAAGGTTCCAGAAGATTGCACTGCTTGCTATCGGCCATCTGCTATGGTGCCAAAGCTACTGTAAAAGGAAAGGGTGACACAAAGTAATATGAAATATGGTAATGTTTCTATTATACTTGTATTTAGTCCTGTTCAGATCTACTGATCTTGGAGATGATGATGATGATGATGATGATGATGATGATGATGATGATGATGACAATAAATGCCTTTTC